AATGTTTCAAAAGGTTTACAGTAGCACTGCTTAATGTTGCTATTATTAAGCAGTTTGTTTACATTTCATAAATTAAATTAATCCACATGAATACCTAGAGACCAGAGTAAATTGAAGCTTAGATGAGGAATTTAAATGGTATAATATGATGATTTTTTATATCAGTGGTTCCCAACCTTTTTTTGCCACAACCAGCTGCTGGGAGCAGAGTGCAGTGGCGGTGGTGGGGGCAGGGGTGGGGGAGCTCCTGGCATGCATCATGGCTCGTCCTTAGTGTGCAGTGCTGCCGGCATTGCCCCCGTGACCCTTGTTTGTATCATGACCCAAGGTTGAGAACCACTGGTTTATGTAAATCCTTCAACCCTCTCAGTTTCTCATTCTTTGTTTCCATGGTAGAGCTCTGAATTAGGATACTGTAGTTTCCAGGATTGGAGCAAACTATATGAATAGCTACAGCATTATTGCCTTGTCTGCTAGGTTAAATCTTTTTTTTTTTTAATTGACTTTAACTTGCTGGTACGAAATAACAATTATCTAACATTTTCTCCTTGTCCTTATTGTTTAAAAGTATGATTAAATTTACACATATTGTGTATACTGTCTCCATAACATGGAAGCTTTCCATGTCAAACTTTCTGGATTACAAGGTGTATAACTGACATCATGTCAGTATTTATTTCTTATATAGTATTATAGAACATATCCATATGCACAAGCCTGGGCATAAAATTGAAAATACTTTCATTCAAAGGCTTTTTCAGTTCTGTTAGGGATGAGAATTTAGTCTGTGTTTTTCAACTAGAATGATTTTCCTACATTCGGCTGTTACTATATCAAAAGTTAGTCAAGCCTAGGGAAATATCAGAAAAATATTCTCCTGGGAAGTTAAAAAAAAAAGTTGTTTTGACTAAAGGTACTTTGGTGATGAATACTGAAAGAAGAGGATATATTAATATCTTAAGAATAAACACAAATATGGTTGGATGGTATATCTAGGCAAATTACAAATGTGCTAGATAGACCTTGAGTTGCTAACTAAAAACCCCTAATTATTTATGTATATAATGGTTGCTTTATAGTAAGAGTATACCTCTGGTAAAGTTAATATTACTATACTATCTTCATGATCCTGTGATACTCTAAATAAGTAAATTGCCTAAATCTATATCTATGCTATATATATTTCTTTTAAACTATTTCATTGGTACTGCTTTAAAAGTTAATTTTAAAGACTAAATAAAAAGTCCTGCTGCTTCCAAGCTTTCTGCAAGTCAGCTCATGCTAAACTATGAATGCTCTTAAGTGAGCAGCTCAGCCAATTGTATTAAATTTTAACTTTTTTTTTGTAGATGTCCACTCATATAATGTCCATTGTTAGCTTTGTGTGCATGTTTATTCATTTTTATATTATGTTTGTTTGCCTTGTAGGTTAAACTGGGTGCTATTCCTGTAGGTATTGGTTGTTTAGTTTGGTTGAAACTGTGTGGTTCATTTCCCTCCTTCCTTCTTTCTGTATCACTAAAGATGAGAGACTGGGACTATCACTTGTTTAGAGAAGCCTTCAAGGAATATTTTCAATATATTAGGCCCAGTTCACATATGGTGAGAGTCCATTTAAATCAATGGAGTTCCACCTAGGGTATGTTAGACTTGCTTTGTATATTCAGAAGATACATAACCTAATCCAAAATAATTTGTCATTATTACAGAAAATGACATTTTTACTTATTTGATAGCTAACTGATAAGTCATCTGAACAGTGGAACATAAAGCATACACATGCCTTGTGTTCTGCATGCTTGGAGTGGTTCTTAATTGCATGTTGAATGGTTTTATGCTATTGTGCATGTTGTTTTGTTTATCTGCTACCATATTGAGTTCTTGGCAGAAAATTTAGCAGAGATAACATGCAAGATATTAAGTGGTTAGGAATTATTGTATTTGTCATATGTAGGATTTCATATTTTATTCTCTTCTCTGTCTTCTGAGTATATTCTGTTCAGTTACCAAGTCAAACATGCTCTTTTTTCAGTCAGCAAATATAAACTGGATAGAAAAATCAAAAACTGTTTAATGAATTCAGCAGTCAGAATTTAGCTAGCAGCTTTGTTAATGAAGAAGGAGTTTTGAATGAATAAATTTTATACTGAGACACAGAAATTCACATTCCATTACTATAAGCGTTGTTAAAGTGCATACACACTCAGTAGAAACAGAAGTCATTAATGTATTAGCACTTGGTAAAGACCCTATTTTGTATCCTTTTCATACCCTAATTGCAACAACCAATGTACTTTTAAAGTGGGCAGGCTAAACCCCTGGAGACTATATGCAGTGAAATAGACTAAATGACTTAAAAAAATATTTCTGATCTATGATGATGATTGTTGTATTAATACTAATCATCATTCATAATTTACAGCTGAGGAAACTGAAGCAGAGATAGCTGAAGTGACTTGTCTCTCTCACTTAGCAGCCTCTCATTCAACTTTTGAGTCCCAAACTAATGCTCTAGCATTAGTCAAGGGCTGATCAGGGGTTGGTCAAAGGTTGTCAGTTTGCAGTTCATGGGTAATATCCAGCCTGTCAAGCATGTGCATCTTCCCTGTGAAGCCAGAAGGTTGTTGGCAAATTGGTGGTGGGTCAGAAGTGGTGGCCCACCTTTGAATCTAGTTCTGTTAGTTCAGCACACCACTCCTGGGTTGCCAGCCCTGCACTAGATAACAGCTGAAATCCCAACAGCATGGAAAAGTAAGTTAGTCTTGGCTGGAGAATGAATTACAATCCTGAAATATTCTGAAATGGTCTATAAGGTTCTGTTAACCATGAAGCTAATATGACATTCAGAAGCTAATTTAAGGATAGAGTTTCTACAAGTAGGAGAAATGAAAAATTTAGCATAAACTACAATACTTAACACAGATTAGCAATGGAGTCTCTTTCAGCATCTTTTGTTTCTCCATCTATGAAATAGAGATAATAATGATTGCTTAGTTACCTCATAAGGGTATATAAAAGATTTAATAATTATTTGTAAAACACAATGAAGATGAAATTTGCTATAAAATATTTGTAATCAGCACTATGTTTCTGTTGAGAGTTATATCTGTTTTCCTGTATTAACCATGTCATCAGCTTTTCAATATTACACTCCAGTTACCTTGAGAAGCAGTCAATTTGTTTTCAGTTGATAGTTCTGCAGTCTATAATAAATGATACATGAAGTAATGTCTTTAATGGAGAAACAAGCATCCAATTTCCAGTAATGGATCCCAAAGAGAATAAATAACACACAACTGACCAAAATAAGATGATGTCTGGGAACCCAAAGAATACAAGCCAGCTAATAGAATGTCCAAAAGAGAAGTCATCAAGAAAGTTTTTAATTTTGTTCTAAAATATTGCAAATATACATACTAAAAATAGAAGCATACTAAAAATGTGGACTTTTCTATAATTTATACTAACTTTCTAGTGCCTAGAAATGAACATTCATTGCCTATCACCTCCCATCACTTTGTGAAAAGAACAGAATTATTTTCCCCTTTGAATTGGAAAAGAGCTTTAATTTCACTGAAAGTTGACATAGTTGCAGCACAGCTTTAAGCAGTAGAAAACCACTCATTTGGAACAGTTTGATATTTTTTACATTTATTTGTTAGCAACTGAAATGGTTTAACACCTAAGTACCACAATCTTAGATTTCCAAAGTCTCTGTGGCCTAGAATACTTTGGATTGAGAAATTAAACCTTTTTCATACCATTTTCATTTCACTAGCCTACATTTATAGTTGTTTATTTGAGCAGTTAGTGCTTTATTTCAGGTTGCTTGAAAAGCTTCTGTTAGACCATTAAATATCTGTAAAATTTTAACTTGAAGTTACTCTATTATTCTAAATTTTCTTGCATAGTTTATTATCTAGGACTGGAAGGAAATGTCAGTGGTTAACTCTTTTTTAGAAGTGTTGCTTATGCTACACTTGGAAAAATGATTCTTGGAGGAAGAACAGTGATTTCAGAAAAGTAATAATTTATTAGGCTTAATTATGGTCTGCAAATATGGGCACATATATTAATCTCATTTTACCTAAAGAATGGGTTAGTTGAAACAAGTATCTAAAAACCATAAAACATTTAAGCTATATTTCTGTGTTAAAATATGGTAGGACAATTGTAGTCAAAAGGATCTCACTCCATTGTGATGGTTTTGAATTTCCAGACGCCTTTATTTTCCGAACAATTTTGCAGCCACTGAATTTGACTTAATGCTTAATGCTACAAATTTCTTCCCTTCTCTCTTTCCATTATGGCTATCTTCAGAAGACAGGGGCATAGCCAAAGTCTTGGGGCATTCCAGAACACCCCAGAATGCACTCTACTTTGTCCCAAAAGATTGGCATGTTATTCCTTAGCTTCAGGATTAAGGATTCACAGTATTACCTTCAGCTCCTATTTAAACTTCCTAATACCCTTTTTATGTACCGGGAGAACTGCATCCCAGCAACTACCAAGCCCCAAAATATGGAGCAACCAAGCAATGAAAACTATGCCCCTATCAGGTTCCTTAGAGAAGTCCTGAATAGCCAAAATGTCCTTTTTTTTTTTAAAGTAGTAAAATACTAACTAGTACGCAGTATATCTGGATGATCTGATATATTTTGACCTGTGATAGCATTTTTTTTTAATCTAGCTAGTTTCTTTTTCATAGATACACAGAAATATCTCTTTTCACTTGATATGTAAAGTGTTCTTTGTAAAGGTTTTTAAAAAATCCTTTATTTTTCAAATATTGTTTCAAAATATCCATTCTAAGAATATTCACTTTTTAAAATAAGGCCATTCACAGAAATGTAGGTATTACGCAGTTTCATACAGTCTGTCTCCTATGGTATTATACCTTCTGTTTTATTCAAATCATAATAAAAAGAAATGCTTGCATGACTTATTTGACTACTACATATGTAAAAATGTACTAAATATTCTTTTCTTTCTTTTTGAAGACAAAAGACCCCCAGGTCCATCTTTTTCTAAATGATTACAGTTCATTTTTCACTGTGACTCAAACTGGAATAACACGCTACCTCACCTTACTCCAACCCGTTGACAGGGAGCTCCAGCAGTTCTATACCTTCTCGGTAAGCAGTCTTCTTAAAAAAGTACACCAGGTCCTCTGCAGGTATTGTAGTAATTTAAACATAATAAACCTAACCTTGTATTTACAGATAGAATTTAGACTACAAAATGAGTGTGTGAAGTAAAACAGAACATGTTCCTTTGAATAGGTTGTCATTTTCTCATTCATATAGGAATATCCTCTTGGATAAAAAGTTCATTTAGGGTTAAACTGTTACTTTACAATCTCCCCTAACTAAGGGGTAGTGTCAAGCTGCATCATCTGAACAGTAACAATTTTCTTCCTTTAGACCTAGATGAAGGAAGAATAAATTACATCACCCTTTTTAATGAAGGAGGTTACTTTTCCCACCTATCCAGCCAGCTAATCATTCTGTCATATAAAAATAAGTGAAGTTAAGGCTCTGCCTGTATCTCATTACCTACTTTCACCTCCATGCCCACTTATAGACAATGAGCACTACTAACAGTGGCTGCATCTGCACTTTCAAATCATCTGGGAGAGTTCTCCCAGGTTTGTTCTCCCAGTAGAAAAACTTGCCCAGAAGCAGCTGAACACATATTCAAGTGCTGAGCCCTTGAAAAACAGAGAGTGTTTAGTGCTGATGCTGCACAGGCAGGTGACCCTTGTGCACACATCTCAGTGTGCTTTGTAGGCTTCTCCAATGTGCCAGGTGACAGATGGCAGCATTGCACAGGGAAGCCCTGATTAGTTGACCCAGACTGCCTTGCAAGTTGTGTCTCCCTGCAGAACAGTGCCAGCATTGTAAAAGTACCATGTTCTGCACCATGCTTGGCTGGATCAGAAGAGTTCAGTTACCAATGCAATGTTTCCCTGGACAGTTGGGGACAGGAGCAAAGCACCCTGAGGTGCCATGACTTATCTCAAAAAAGAACATATGCAGACATTTGCTTTCACAAGAGAACTCTCCTGGGAGTGATTTAATGCTGGTTGTTCCCACATTATTTTTCTCCTGGAGTAGAGAGTTATTTTTGCTTTGGGAGAAAAATACTAAGCATCTGTTCATGAATGGTTTTTCCTGGAAGAGTTGTGACTGAATACCTGTACATGTCCAATGTGGTGCCCATCTTCAAGAAAAGGAGGAAAGAAGACCCAGGAAACTACAGGCCAATCGATTTGACCTCAATCCCTGGGAAGATTTTGGAAAAAAGTATCAAAGTAATCATTCTTGACAGACTAACAGAAGGCAACATTCTGTGGGACAGCCAGCATGGGTTTGTTGCTGGTAGGTCTTGCTTGACCAATCATTTCCTTCTATGACCGGACAATGGTCATAGACTTTAAAAAAGCTTTTGACCTTGTATCCCATGATGTCCGTATGGGAAAATTGGGCAACTGCAGCCTCGATTACTCCACAGTCCGATGGTTGGGGACCTGACTCTGAGGTCAAACCCAGAGTGTGGTAGTTAATGGAACTGAATCACCATGGCACTTGGTGACTAGTCGTGTCCCCCAAGGCTCTATTCCTGGACCTGTACTCTTTAATGGCTTCATAAATGATCTGGACACTGGAGTCAAAAGTGGACTGGCCAAGTTCACTTACAACACCAAATTTTGGGGGAGAATCTCCAACTTGTGGATAGGCTGGTGGTCTGGGCCAATCTCAATAAGCTTGCAAGGTGGCTGTCTGAAAACCTGATGGCATTCAATATGGAGAAATGCAAGGTGCTCCACCTTGGGAATAAAAACCTGCATCGCACTTATAGGCTCAGCAATGCTATGCTTGCTAGCACCATGACCGAAAGAGACTTGGGGATCATGACTGACCACAAGATGATATGAGCTACTAGTGCAATACCGCAGCTGGAAAAGTGAACAAAACTCTGGATTGCATCTACCGATGTATCTCGAGCAAGACCTAAGATGTTATCCTCCTGCTACCTAAGATGTTATCCTCCTGCTGTACTCAGCCTTGGTGAGGCTGCAGCTGGGGTACTGCATCCAAGTCTGGGCTCCACAATTTAGGAAGGATGTGGAGAAGCTTGAAAGAGTCCAGAGGAGAGCCATGCACATGGTCAGAGGGCATGAGAACAGGCTTTCTGAAGAAAGGCTGCGAGCTATGGGACTCTTCAGCCTGGAGAGAAGTACATGCTCAAGGGGTGACTTGTGGCAGCCCATAAGTCCATAAGGGGTGTGCATCAGGATCTGGGGGAATGCCTGTTCACCAGAGCACCCCAGAGGTCACAAACTCCTGCAAGATTGTTTTAGGCTGGACATAAGGAAAAACTTCTTTACTCTCCGAGCCCCCAAGTCCTGGAACAAACTCCCCCCAGAGGTGTGCAAGCACCTACTCTGGACACTTTCAAGAAACATTTGGCGGTTTATCTTCCTGGGATTCTTTGACCTTAGCTGACTACCTGTCCCTTGGGTAGGGGCTGGACCCAATAATTTTACAAGGTCCCTTCCAGCCCTAATGTCTATGAAATCTATGAAATCTCCAACTAGCTGCAACTACAGTCTGGGCAAGAAAATAAGAGGGTTTCATATAGCACTGACAATCTAGCACCTAGATGTGTATCATTTTTTATAGTATTGAGCTTCAATAGTTAAGAATCTGCTCAGGGAAAAGTGCTATAAACATCTTTCTGAAAAACAAAACAAATCCAAAAATGAAAAATTGTTCAAACTTCTGTGCTTTAGAAACTTACTTTCTTAACTGATGGTGTTGCATAAGTATATAGAAAAGCAGTGGCTACTTATTCTCTTCAACCCCTGGCAGACAAGCAGTTAAAGGTGTGATAGGATCTTCCTCTCATGCCATGCATGTATGGCAGGAGGCTTGATTGTGGGATTGAGCATCAGATGCCTTATTTCTGCAGTAGGGGAAGCCTGGGATCCTGATCCCAGGTTTCCCATGCAAGCTCCTGAACCTGGGAGCTGCGCTCCTGCATCTGAGCCCATATCAGGTGATGAGGCTCCCAGCTGTGCTCCCACACATTCTGGCCACACATTCGATTAATGGTGTCACAGGAACCAGACACAAAGTTGCTATATATATTTTGTGTAATAACTTTGTGGCTTATTCCTTGTTTTATAACACCATTAATTGCATTAACATGTGGCTATTAACTGGTTAATCACATCTTAAGTGTAATATGTGCTGGGGACCTTCAGTGACAAGAAGAATGAAGGGAAGGAAAACATACAATTTCAATAATGTATACATTCAATAATGTATTAATATAATTTTCTCAATTAACTATTATCCAAAGAGTGGCTCTCTCTAGTCTAGCAGAGAACAATATTGTCCAATACAGTATGTGTGTGGAGAGATAACTTTCCCACACTTCAATGCATGCAAAGATTTAGAACAAGACATCCAAAAATGTTGCTTATATATATAGCCAAAGTAAATACAAAAGAAAAACAGATTTTACCTTGGCATGTATTTTCTGTTAGCTACATTTGTCTTAAGATTAACACCTTTAAATTATTTTTCCTTTGTAGATGACCGCTTCTGATGGTGTGCAAGAGAGTAACCCAGTCACAGTCAATATTGTAGTGATTGATGCAAATGATAACACCCCAACCTTCTCCAATATATCTTATAATGTCAATGTGTACACAGACATGAAGCCTGGAGAAACTGTTATAAAGGTAATCCTATGCCTTTATGTGCTCATAAACAAATGTTGGTAAACTTAAAAAAGTGTGAAACATTACTTTACTTTGGTAAGCATATCAACAGCTTTACTCATGAAATTTTTGCGTAGACTTTTGCGCTGATAAACATCACAAGAAGTTTTGCGCTAAGCTTTCTTGCTTCTGATCAGACTGTACTATCAAAAGAGCAGCTATTTCCTTACATGCTAACAGTTCCATTTGTCATACCAAATGACATATTTGAATAGATAGACCAACATTAAAATGAAACATACTATACCAGTTTACATGTATTTACCTATATTTCTGTCTTTCTCTTCCTATGGGTCAGATTTTCTAAGATCTTTCATTTTTTTCAGTCCATCTTATGTTAGAGCACATTAGACATTGAGAAATTTGATTTATAGTATCAGAAAAGGTAAGGTAAGTTTTATTATTTAATATTTGTACGTAGCTTTTTCATTTGAGTAAAGACAAAGAGTGAAATCCTGACCCGTCTGAAGCTGATGACAGTCTCCCTTCAGCAACATAAGATATCATTCCTTGTCTATCTACTATAGTGTTTGCAGCCCAACACAACACAACACAACACAAGCATATGTTGCCAATAAGCAAGGAGAATATAAAAGCGAAGAATATGTAGAAAAAAAATCCTGTGTTCTTTTGAATAGTATGAGTTCTCCATAATAAATGTTTTGGGATAGTGGAACTGGTGAGGAAGCAAATTTTAGCTCAGTGACTAAGACATGGGAAGGAAGCTTGGTGTCTGGTGACTAGGAATGTGTTTCTTGACCTGTCCTGACTTGCTGTGTATGTTTAGGCCAGACATTAGTTTTCTTATCTGTAAATCTTATATTTTATTTACCACAGTGAGATGTAAGGCTAAAAGAGTAAGTTCTAGTCTATAAAGTTATTTTGTGAAAACTGTGTTTTGATCTGTTGTATGGTTTTTCTTTGATCAGATCTGATGCTCATGCCACCTCCAGCAAGTGATAAATGCTTGCACATTCTGATCCCTGCTCAGCTGTAGGTGGATTAAAATTATCCATGTAATCCAAATCTGGGTCCTACAAGTGCCTGTTGTACCCATACACTGCAGCATATCATCATCTGCAAATGTTTTCAATCTTCTCAAGTTAGCAAATGGCAGGCACCACTTATGCAAGCAAAGGTCTTCCACAATTCCTGTACACAGGGGACTAACCTAGGTGATCAGAATTCAGATGTAAAGATAGAGAACAAGTGTATGTGGTCTGATTACCTGGGAAAAGGGTGTGTCCTTTCCTTTGCAAGCTAAATTGGAAAAGACTGACATTTGTGACTGACTACCATCTCTTTCAAGTGGCTTGTTTTGCTTGAAATTATTTATCTTTGAAAGGACGCCTTGAGGAAAGGGATTGAAGCTTTCAGCTACTGGTAGGAGTATTATTCATTGGCCAGGACTCGGGGTTTTGTACTCTACCCTTACTTATCTTAAAAACAAAAGGTACTGAGCCTCCCATTCTAGTGTTTGTCTCATAGTTGGAGAAAAGAGAAATACTACTTTGGAGAAGCTGCATGTAAAGTGTAAGTATTAAATGTAATTATCAACCAGGTAGCAATTATCCTTGAACTAGGCTGGAAAAAAATCTGTTTAGATGGGTGAGACTCTGCACATACTTTCTAGTTTGCTAGAATTAAAACTAAAATGGAAAAAATGAAAAACCTATGAATTTTAAGGATATATTTCCTGATGCCCTTGACTATCTCTTCAAGTTAAATGCAAGATTATTTTCAAAATAAAGTGCCCACACAAAGAAAATCCTAATAATTAATAGTTCAGACTGTTGAGTAATTTTTTGCTTCTATAACAAAGAATTTAGGAATTTGTTGAGTCTTGTTTCCTACTCTGCCAATGTTGAAGACATGGGGCTTGTCCAAATGAGTGTGCACATGCACTTCTCAAAGGACAACTAACAGCAAGACATAGTTGTGATGCTGCTAGTTGTCCCCAAAGAATGTCTCTACACACAAATTCTGGTGCAGGGCAAATTGTGCTGGGTGGGATAGGGAGGGCTTAGGCCAGAACCTGGGCTGGCCACAACAGCCTTACCTGAGGTCCTGGGGGCCTCCTGGGGTTGTAGCGGTGGTGATCTGGATACGCAGAGCCTGGCTGGCAGCTGGAGCGTGGCTCTGGCCAGCCAGGCTCTGGTTTCAGGCAGCGCATGCTGCCACCTTGTGCACTGTGACACTTTTTTTCCCCGTGCTTCTTTTTATACCAGATTCCCAGTATATAAATTAGGCTCAACCAAAGCACATGCATGGGGTGCATTTTGTGGCATGCACCCATGAAGTCTTTCATCCAGTATTCTGCTGGCAGAAGGATGGACTTTATTTTCTTTTTTCTCTGCTCTTTGAATCACTTTTATTTGTGAGGAATGTTACCCATGCTGTGTATTTGCAAATAGATCTTACCAAGGAAAGTAAAAATTTCTCTTACCTGTGTCTTGCAAGGAAGCAGAACTGGCACAAAACAAAAAGAAAAACCCCTCATTGCAGCCAGGAGGTTTTAGCACCAGCATCCATTTAAAAAGTACATGACTTAAATTTTGTTTCTTTAGTTGGGTTTTTCCCTTTATTTTGTTTTCTCTCTGTCTGATACCAAAAGAAAAAATGAAAAAAAAAAAAAGAATATTAGCAAAATGATGAAATTCTTAAAAAAAAAAAAAAAAAAAAAAAAAGAAAGAAAGAAAAAAGAAAAGAAAAACAAATCCCAGAGTTGCTGCTGAAGCTGGGAAGATTTTACTTTCTGAATCTCACTGTCTCTTTTCTCTCCATTCATCTTCCTTGTTTTCCTGTCTAGAATTGTGAACAGAAGCTTTGTCTGTACTGTTTAGGAGATCTGTGCAGTTTCTGTAAACCAGTAAAGCAGATGTGGGGTGATGAATCATGCAGTTCATTTCATATTACAAATGCTCTTCCTTTAAAACTGTCAGCTTGTCTGAGGGGTTTTTTCAAACTGATAATTCACTGATTTTTACTGAAATAATTTCCCATTTCTCTGCATGTATACATAATGAAACTTTCTCTTCTCATAGGGCCACCTCAGAAGTGATTCAGATGCTTCTTAATACACTGACTCTTTTGAGATGATAATCAGCTAGGATAGATTCAAAAGGAAAATGACCCAGGTCAGATCTGATTAGTTTCTGAAACCACCAGTCAAAGAAAGTAGGTTAGAAAAAGAGCACTGACCTCAATGAATCTGCACAATCAGATAATTCAAATGCAAGTCTTGGAATGCTCTATTCACTAATTAGGTTGTGTTAGAGAGATAATCAATTAAGTATGTAATTTGCAAAGCACCTGGTCATTCTCTTACCACCCCACCCCCAACATCCTATTTCCTCTTCCAAAATATATTAATTTAATTTAATTTCACGTATTAGCCAATTTGCTTTTACGTAGAAGCCAATCTGCTTTTAAAGCTTTTAGTTTGAAGGCTGTTCCACTGTAGCTAAGCAAACAGAATCTCAGTTCCATCCTTGGCCTTTGTTAAAGTTCACTTTGTTCCAAAGGGGTCTTAACCCAGCCCTTCATTTGGAACACTCTGCCTCCACAGTCTAGTGACAAGCTACCCTAGCATGAGGAAATCCTGGTTTAATGTAAAACTTGCTCTCCCTCTTCAACCCCTTCTTCAGTTATGGCATGGGCAAAGTGAAAATGAAGTGCACGTTGTTCATGCTTTTTTGTTTTAGCTTCCCCAAGTTTTGATTTTAACATAGCTGAGGACCTCAACTAAAGAATGTCCAGAAGATTATGAATATTCTGATATTCCACACAAAATGATCATTCAGTTTACATTAAGAAAACACGGGTGGCTCATGTTTGCTAATTTATTGGAAAATCATTTAATTGAAATGAGCAGGCCCTGGTTCTACTGCCATATTTACTTGAATTCAAGATAAGGTTTATTTCCCAATCAGCATTGGGGAACCCTCTACCCCTCATTTTGGATTCAAGAACCAGCCTAGGGCAGGTGGGGATCAACTTCATCTTTCGCCCTGGGTTTGAGGCTGAAGCCACAACTGAGCCACAGCCTTCCCCAGGCCAAAATGGCTCATTTGGTGAGGGAGGGGGCATGCCACTGGGGATTGCACAGGGCAGACCATGGGGTGGGGATGGGAGAAGGTGCAGCCTGCCCATCCACCCTTTCCCTCTGTGCCTGCAGTCTGCCCCACCACCTGCCCCTTTCCTCCTGACCTTCTCTTCCAGCTCCCTTCAATCTTGACACAGCCCAGCTGGAAGCTGCTGCCACTTCTTCTGATTGGTGGTACCATTGCTGCTGTTTGCCCCAAGGAGCACAGCTGCAATTGAAGACCTGGGAGGCTGGGCAAGGGGTTGGGAAGAGGCTGCAGGGGGAACATGCAATGGGAGTTCAAGAGGTGGGAAGGGACACAGAAGCAGGTGGCAGGGGGGAGCCATGGGAACAGTCAAGAGACAGGGGAGCAAGAGCAGGCATCTGGCCTCCTGTCACTGCTTTCCCTGCCATAGAAGTCAGTGAGGGGAATGGATTTAAGATGACCTTCCACTAATTAGATCCTATACATGGAAAATGATTATAAATGTATAATTTTCCACGTATAGAATCTCAATGGGGGAAGGGGGTTGGCTTAAATTCAAAGTTATCAAGTAGATATTGTAATTGCTGATCATTTCTGTGGGTTTGGGGTAGGGAAGGTGGTATTACGGGTTTGGAGGAGAATGCCAATCTAGACCCTTAGAATTTTGCAGCACATGTGTACACCACTGGTTTTCAGCCTGTGGTCTGGAGACTATGTCTTAAGGGGTCACAAAATACTATGTTATTCTCAAATTACCAAGGAGTTAAACTTATAAAATGATAACGCTTGTTTATTCAGAAAGCCTTCTTGGCCTACTGATCTGCTGTTATCTCCTGCAATTTCTGGGCAAATGTAACAACTTCTACATAACACTCTTAAAAGTATCTACAC